GGGACTCGATCCCGGGACTCCAGGATCATGACCTGAGCCGAAGGCAGTCGCTTAACCAACTGAGCCACCCAGGCGCCCAAGACTCTCCTATTTCTAAAAAATATCTGTACATTAAAAATATCTCATTGTACACTGGTACCATATTTTTAATTTTTTTTCCTTGAAAAACATTTTGAACCCTTCCTGATTTTTAAACTATCTTTAAAATAAATAAATACCTTTTTTCATCTGTTACAAAGTGGCATTTTAAATTATATAAAAATTCTCATAAAATATCTTTTACTTTGGGAAAATTATGAGCCATATTTAAATTATGCAAATAATTGTAATGAATTCATCACACCTTGAAGATGCCACAGGTTTTGAAGGCAGGGGACCACATGACTCTGGACCCCTTCCATCACTGTGGGTCCTTGATGCTATAAAGACAAGAAAAGGGTCCTGTCCTTACTCTCACTCTATTTAGAAGAAACCAAGGAAAGTGAAAGAATTAAAACTACCTTCTAACTACTGACAGCCAGGAAACAGGGAGCATTGGAAGCAAATAAAAATCTTTGTTTCAGGGGCACCTGGGTGGCTCAGTCGGTTAAGCGGCTGCCTTCGGCTCAGGTCATGATCCCAGGGTCCTGGGATTGAGCCCCACATCAGGCTTCTTGCTCAGCAGGGAGCCTGCTTCTCCCTCTTCCTCTGCCTGCCTGCCTGCCTACTTGTGATCTCTTGCTCTCTGTCAAATAAATAAATAAAATCTTAAAAAAAATAAAAAATCTTAGTTTCAGAAACTCCAGCTGACCAAAACATTTTATTGATTTTGCTATTTAAAAGGCCAGAGATTCTAGGGATGCCTCGGTGATTCAGTCGGTTAAGCATCTGCCTTCAGCTCAGATCGTGATCCCAGGGTCCTGGGATCAAGTCCTGCATTGGGCTCCTTGCTCAGCGGGGAGCCTGCTTCTCCCTCTGCCTGCCATTCCCCCTCTTGTGCTCTCTGTCTTTGTCTTTCTCTCTCTCTGACAAAATAAGTAAATACAATTTAAAAAATAAAAAATAAATAAAAGGCCAGAGATTCTAATGGCCAAATGGAGTTTACAGTCTTCCACTAATCACATAACTTCCAGTTGGAGCTCAGGTGGCATGACGTTTATCAACAAGGAGAGGACACAGTTTCTTTCTTTGAACGTGCTGTCCTGGATCAGTGACTTAACACGCAGTTGTCTCAGCCTCAGTTGGCTTTCTTCTTTGTTTTCAGAGTAATTCCTGTTTATCCTTCAAGAACCAGCTCAAAAGTTACCTCCTCTCTGTTTTTTCTATTTGCCCCCACACTCCCAACGGTATTAAACACATTATCCTCAAGGATTCTAGTACACTCCAGCATGTATCTTTATTTTTTATAAGACTTTTATTTATTTATTTTTTAGAGAGACAGAGAGTAAGTGGGGAGGGGGGAGCAGAAGGAGAGGGACAAGCAGATTCTGCACTGAGCGTGGAACCTGACATGGGGCTTGATCTCACCACCCTGAGATCATGACCTGAGCCGAAATCAAGAGTCAGACACCCAACAGCCTGAGCCACCCAGGTGCCCCTAGCATGTATCTTTATTATAATACCTAGTATCAGATAACTAAAGGTTAGGAGTACCTGGCTGGCTCAGTCAGTAGAGCATGGAATTCTTGACCTTGGGATCTTGATCAAAGAAAAGGGGAAAATGCTTACTAGAAATTAAAAATAATTAAAGGGATGCCTGGGTGGCTCAGTTGGTTAAGCATCTGCCTTCGGCTCAGGTCAGGATCCCAGGGTCCTGGGATCGAGTCCTGCGTCAGGCTCCCTGCTCAGTGGGAAGCCTGCTTCACCCTCTGCCTGCCATTCCCCCTGCTTGTGCTCTCTCTCTCTGACAAATAAATAAATCATTAAAAATAAATAAATAGAAATAATTAAAGGTTAATGTGTTACTTATTCTGTAAATATGCAATTTGGGGTATGTATGTCTGACTATATTAATACATGTATCGTTATTACATATCTTGTTTGGCATTCACTAAGGATTGCCTCTTGAGGAACCAGAAGGCCAGGTTTTAGGTCTGTCACTAATTATGTGACCCTGGGTATGTTGCTTAATCTCTAGAATTTAGTTTCTTTAGCTACAAAATGCTAATTTGACTATATAACTACAAAGATCCTTTTGGGCTCCCAAATTCTGAGTTTATAACATCATGTAAATTAAAATATGTGGTTTTGTTCTCTCTTCATTTCATTTCATTTCATTTCATTTCATTTCATTTCATTTCATTTATTTTTAAAGTAAGCTCTAGGCCCAACATGGGGCTTGAACTCATGACCCTGAGATCAAAAGTCAGGTGTTCTACCACCTGAGCCAGCCAGCCACCCCGACTTCCCTTTATTTCAAAAATTAGAAAAGCAGAGCTCAGAGAGCATTAGTGCTATTCACGGTATTTAGGAAATAAAGCTTTGTGTTTCAAAGAACAGGCTCTAGAGATGGAATGCCTGGGTTTGAATATCGCTTCCACTGCTTGGTTGCTCTGTGATTTTAGGCAAGTTGTTTGAACATTCTGTGCTTCTTTTCTTATCTATAAAGTGGGAGATGGCGATGACATCTATAAGATAAAGGTTGATATAAAAATTTGTTAGTTAGCATATCTAAAGTGCTAAGAACAGTGCCTGATTCATCAGAAGTATTAAAGGTCAGTTCCCACCCTTACCCAACATCTCACAACAGTTAACAAAACAGAGGGTCTAGGAACCAAGTCTCCTGGCCACACAAACAGTGCATTTTACACTGTATCACATGCCCTCTAAAAGAGTGCTTTAATTAACTACCAACATACACACACACGGAGACTGAGTTCGCTATGTATTCTGTGTTGTGCTAAGCACTTTACTACCTTTTCTCTTTATTTCTCACAGTGATCCTATAAGGTGAGTGTTTTCAGTCCGCAATACCTTACCTGCAATTCCAAAATGAGAGAAACTCTGAACACCGAAAGTGTTTCATTATTCATTGGATGACTTGACTTGAACTCCTTTAGAGGCAAAAATATGACTTGAGTTGACACAAAGCTATGAATAGGCTTTATTCCATTTAGTGTGAACATGAGTATGATTCACTATATTTAATATTTTTTTTAATGGAGTGCTGTCTCAAATCCCCTGAGAATGTTAACATACATTATTAGGTTGTTAGATAATATATAGTGTTTGCACTGCATTGCCTTTTATTATTCTAAACTTCTTCTTTTTTTAATTTATTTGACAGAGATAGAGAGAGAGAGCACAAGTAGAGGGAGTGGCAGGCAGAGGGAGAGGGAGAAGCAGGTTCCCTGCTTAGCAGGGAGCCCAACACGGGGCTCGATCCCAGGACCCTGGGATCATGACCCAAGCCGAAGGTAGTCTCTTAATGGACTGAGCCCCCCAGGCGTACCCCAAAACTTCTAAATTGTATCTTTTTAGGATGATGGAAATGTTTTATAACTGGATTGTGAGGACAGTTGTACAATTCCATCAATTTCCTTAAAAAATCATTGAATTGGGTATGCCTGGCTGGCTCAGCCAGTGGAGCATGCGACTACTGATCTTGGGGTTTTAAGTTCGAGCACCACACTGGGTGTAGAGATTACTTAAAAATAAAATCTGAAAAAAAAATCATTGCATTGGGCACATAAAACAGGCCAATGTATATAATATATAAATCGTATTAATAAAAAAATAAAAATAAAATACTTTAATAAAGCTATGTTTGGAAGGCCATTACAAAAAGAAAAACATGTTTCATTACTAGGAAGTTAATTAAGGAACACCTGTAACAACTGACCATGGTGTTTGGGGTTTTAGACTGAAGCTGGACCTAGCTGATAAAAGTACTTGAGTGCTATTTACACAGGATTTGAATCTGTAGTGATGTGAGTGAGTAGTGTAGCAGTTTTCACAAAAGAGAAGGAAACCACACACACATACACAAAATGAACTAGAGTAGTAAAAATAATTAATGAAAAGTTAATGAAATTGAAGAATAAGTCCAAATACAACCTCTTTTTATAATTTTTCTTGAGTCACCCCATTCCATCAGAATTCATTTT